CCCGGGGGACCCGCCATGCAAATTTAGCTTAAAAAAAAAGAAAGAAAAAAAAAAAAAAAGAGCTTTTTGAAGCAACAAAAGTGCTCGTTTCCCTCGGGAAGGATAAGGAGGGGGGAGCTGGGATGGCTCCCGGGTGGCCACGGGGCGAGCAAGGGGGGGACCCCCATCAGTACCGGGGACCCCCCCCGAGCTCGGGGGTCGCTGTTCCAGCCCCCCCCCGCGGTACCAGGACAGCTCCAAAGGGGTTAACAGGAAACTTGGGATTGCGCTTCCAGCCGGCTGGAGCCCGGAGCACCGGGCACCGCCACCGACCCCCCCCTCGATCCCCGGGGGTCCCCGGGCAGGCGGTGCCGGTACCGAGGGGGGGGTCCCCCGGTTCCCCCCCGCCCCGTTCGCAGGCTCGCGGCTAATGACATTTACAGGCTGATCCGAAATCTGATTAAAGTCTCTCACCATAACGTAATGGCGCTGCATTTCGGTCTTCTCGTTCGCCAGCTTGTCATACTCCACTTTGAGGCTAGGTGGGGGGGGGGGGGGTGGAGAGCGCACGGTGAGAGCCGGTAAGAACGGGGGGCTCGGGGGTGAACGGGAGGCAGCCGGGGGTCTCCCCCCGGGCTCACCTGTGGTACTGGGCCTGCAGGAACTGGAACTCGTCCTTGATCCGGTCGCACGACTCGGCCACGGTGAATTTGAAGCCCGGCTGGCCCGGCTGGTGCGGAGCCTGCGGGAAGCGGCGGCGGCGGGGGTTACCGGGGGGAGGGATTACCGGGAACGGGGAAGGGGGGCGGAGAGGGGAGCGGAGCGGGGGTCGGGTACCGGGACTCACCGGGTGCCGGCCCTGGGGGTACATGGCCGGGCTGGGGCGCGGTCACTGGAAGCAGCCGCGCCGAGCCTCGCTACGGCGATCGCGACGTGCGGAGCTGCCGCTGCTGCCCGCCGGCCTCGGAGCGCTCCCGGAGAGGCCGAGAACTGAACAAAGGGACGAGAGGAAAGTCCGTGCGGGGGGCGGAGGAGGGAGGGCGGAGGGGGTGGAAGGGTTGGGGGGGTGAAGGGGGAGCGGGCCCGGCCGGTTCCCCCCCGCACATTTCTCACCCCCCCACCGCCGCC